AGCATTTTATAATTGCATCATTAGTGCTTTTATTTTTCCTGAATCCAAGTTGGCAGGGGTTGAGTATGTTTTTGTGTCGTTATAAATGAATATAGTCTCCTGTGCACGAGTTTCTCAAAGATTTTGGATAGCAATGATAAGTTTGATATTGGCCTATAGTTGTTTAAATCTGTAGGGTCACACAAACTATTTTTATTTTATTTTTTTGTTCTATTTATACACCAAACAATACAATATTGCATTTCCTTTTTCAAAATTCTCGAAAATAGGAATTTTAAAATAAAATGATCTGCAATTGGGATTTTGAAAAAAAAAAAACAGTAAAATTTAACATAAAAAAAAAAGTTTTCAAATGCAAGCGACCTTTAATTTAAATGAATTTTGAAAATATGGGAACTGATTGATAAAATTGATCAAAAAAAAGAAGCCCATGGTTAAAGAATTCCCATTACTTTTATAATCAAAGCAAAATAATTTCTGTCTATACTAAATCTCCAACACTGGCACAATTTAAACCCAAATTTGAGCAAAGAAGAATATGGATCTAAAATACAATTGTCTCCATCAATACAAAATTCATCAAACCCAAACCAAATTTAAAAGGGGGGTGCCTCAGAGCATATCCTTGGTCCCTGTTTTCTTAATCACTGTACTGTTATCAATACCCTTTTCCCCACATCTGACGAATTAAAACGTTTTATTTGCAGATGACAAAATTTTTTTCCCTTTTATTCATATCGGTTTTTCACTAACCTGTTAACCCTTTGAGGGTTTCACGTACAGTACGGCTTTTCAACCCAGGGGTTTTGATTACTAGTCCCTAAATTCTAGCGCCCTCAAAACTAGTGGGAGAAAGCTGGTAGGCCTTCATATGAAAGAATGGGTCTATGTGGGATGGCACAGTCTAAAAAAAAACTGCAGCACACAGTGCTAATGGAAAAAAAAAAAATTTGACCGTTTTTTTTGGAATAAAAACACGACTTTGCACTGTATTTTTCGTATGGTATTTTTTGTTGTATTCTAGTTTCTTTGGGCTCATTTTATGAATAAGACATATTACGAAATTGAGATGATTTTGACTGGGGTTTTTCAATGAAAGATCCTTTTAAATTGACTCAAAGTAGCAGAAAAGTTCGATTTTTACTAAACAAAGTAAACAAATCGGCCAATGGTCCAATAGACGTCAACTGGTAGTCAATATTCTTTCACAAGTGCGCCAATAATATTTTTTTCCATTTTTTTCCTAAATGCAGTATCTGCATAACAGTAAATCTTATATTTTTTTTGAGAATAAAAAATTTAAAGTGGAAAGCAAAAGAATACAAGAGGGCCTTGAGACATGATAAACCCAAAGGAAAAATCATTTTAGTGCCAGGAAAGTCTTTCTTTTTTATTCGGGCCCTATTTGGAAATTGGCATCTTTTGAAATTTGTATGAAATTGGGGGAAATTGCAAATTCTGACCACGTACTGGTAGTTGAATTTCATAAATGGGGGGGGTTTTTTTCACCCCTTTTGATAAAAAAAGGGA